ATTTTCTGTTGGATTGAGCTGACAAGTACCGCGGTCAAAAAGGGCCTCAGAATGTCGGATCCTGTGAACACTTCGAGTGGTTGGTTGGTGTTCGTCGACCAAGCTCCCCTCCAGTATCTTGCCAAGCGTGGAGAGTAGCGAGATAGGTCTCCAGTTTCGGATACTAGGGTTCATACCGATTACAGCGGAGTCACGTGACTGACTCACTGAATGAAATTCTGTCAGCAGTGGATCCTCGAATGTCAGATCTTTCACATTGTGCAATCATCAGCCCCAGACGACCTTCTAAGTCCTTGTGTGCTTGACTACCTAGGTAAAAGCATCTAAACACTCCTTCTTTGGAGCCCGGCCGTCGGTGCCCGTCCAAATCTCGCTTTTCTCAAGAGGAACGAGAATTTTGTGCAGCTTGAGCCCTTCAGACGAGTGCAATTCAATGGTTACTCGGCCATGACACCCCCAAATATGAAGGACTCATTTCAAGTCGGATACGCACATCTGTGAGCAGTGCAGAAGCACCCTAACTGGTAATTAATCGCTCAATTTTAACTTTGAAACGCCACCCCAACTGCGATTAGAAATAGTTTGAAGCGGTTTCTTTTCCGATCTGACGAACTGGTACAGTGGTACCTCTCTCGACAGTTAAGTTGGATAGATCGATAACAATTTCTCAAGATCAACGACATTGACACTCTGCTACCCCCCGTCAGACAACAGCCACTCCTCCGAGTCTTCTCACGAGGGCTTCCAAATGACAAGCGCCCCTCACCAGAACCTGTCCAACTCTAGAGGTTCAGTGTCACACATCCAAGATACGAGCACCCTTGACCACATGGCTCGACCAGGGAAAGTGTTTCTCGGACCAATAATCCACTTCCTCTCACCCTCGGAGCTCGAAATTATACCCTTTGCTCTCCTGGCAGTCAACCACGAGGGCCAAGTCACTTCTGTTCACAAAAGCGCCAACGCACAACAACTTGAGGACACGCTGGCCGCTCTAAATATCTCCCCGGACCTCGTCACCATCCACCGTCTCGGCCCAAGCCAATTCCTGATCCCAGGCTTCGTCGGCACGCACAATCATGCACCGCAATTGGTGCAGCACGGCCTGGGCCCGCAAATGCACTTCCTCGACTGGCTCGACGCCATCACCTTCCCCAACGACCCGGTTCGCCGGTCCAGACCACGCCCGGCGCATCTACCCGAGCTGCGTCGACGGTTTTCTGCGCCAGGGCATCACCACGGCGTCGTACTACGGCTCCGTCCACGGCGAACCCTCCAATATCTCGGCCGATCTCTGCCTCGAGAAAGGCCAGCGCGCTGGTGTGTGTCGGCAAGTGCAACATGAGCCGGAACCCGCTTAACTACTACCGGGACGCGTCGGTCGAGGAGAGTTTGCGGGTTACCGAGGACTGCATCGTGCATATCCGGTCCATTGGCCCCGCCGGACGACTCGTCAGACACATTCTCACGCCGCGGTACGCCATCTCGTGCCATCCCGAGCTGCTGCAGGGCCTGGGCGACATCGCCTGCGCGAATCCGGACCTGCCCGTCCAGACGCACTTCAACGAGGCGGAGCAGGAGATGAAGGTTACCAGGGAGCTGTTCCCGCAGTTCTCCAACGAGGCGGACCTGTATGAGCACTACGGCCTGCTTGGGAAGAGGTCCATCATGGCGCATTGCTGCCACATGACCGAGTATGAGTTGGGGCGGCTCAAGGCGCTCGACTGCGGCGTTGCTTACTGTCCCGTCTCCAACATGACTGTCTACGGCGAGTTCAGGCGGCGCCTGTACGGAATTTTATGCGGCGGGGGATCAAGGTTGGCTTGGGCACGGACAGTGGAGGGGGTTTCTCAAGCAGCATTCTGGATGCGCTACGGCTGGCCATGATTCCCAGCCATGCGCGCGAGGTCATGTCCATTGATGAGGCCTTCCATTTGGCCACGGTGGGTGGCGCTCGGGTCTGCGGTCTGGGAGATAGGATCGGTAGCTTTGAGGTGCGCAAGGAGTTTGATGCCATTGTTGTTGGGACCCAGAGGGCCGAGCAGGGCATCATGACCCTGGTGGAGGAAGGGGATACACTCAGATCCGTGTTTGAGAAATTCGTTGTGATGGGCGACGATAGGAATGTTGTCGAGGCGTATGTCCAGGGCCGGTTAGTCAAGGGGAGGGCGTAGGGGAGGGAGGCTCGGTGATCGATGGTACCAAGGGTTCAGGATTGGGACGAGCCGATACCACTGCGGTATTCCAAGGTAGGGGACCTCGAAGAGGCACGAGATTTGTGTCCATGGCGCCGAGGCGGTACAGCGCGATGACAGAGGCAGTCATCTTGTTGACCCTTGTTGAGTCTTGTTGGCGTTTGTTGACTCTATTTGGCCCTTGTTGACTTAGAGGCGATCCTGGTCCCCAATCATCTTCCGGGGTCCTCGAGAGACTGTCTACCAAGCACATGCAGCTTCCCGCTGGGACCACGGCGGGCTGCCAGCTGTTGTTCTCGAAGGCTGTGACACCAATCAAGGATGCTTGCACCCGTGTGCAGAACATAATTAAATGTATGTCTTACTTAGCGTTCTACGTTGCCCCTAGAGACAGCACTTTAGAGTATGTGCAACTCTTCATGGAAGTAATCCTCCTAAAGATATTGCTTTCCATCTTTACGAAGCATCTCCAGTAGCTTTCTCTTGTCTCTTCAAAACAATTAGAAGTTAAAAGAACCAACCCCTAATTCCCTGAACTCGCCCAGACCACTACACACAATGAAGAGCAACGATGCCCTCGCACTCATCATTCTCGCCTACACGCTCCTCGCTTTCATCGCGTGCGCCTGCATCTTCCGTTTCGCCCGGGCAATGCGACGCCAGATATACGGCTCGTCGTCCACTACTAGCACAGCAACATCCTCGGCATCCAAATCAACCCCCTCGCCAGGCTCATCCCCCTCGAGTTACTCCAGCACCGACTCGACACCATCCACAGCTGGACTCGGAGTAGGAACTGGTACAGGCCCGCTGTCGCCCCCGCCTCCTCCCGTAACCTTTGCGTATCCGCCGCCGCCACCTGGAGTCCCGCCTGTCCCGCCGCCGGTTGACGCAGGGGGTAGGCGGTATCCCACGGTTCCTCCTCCGCCGCCGCCGGTTCAGTGATGGCGGGAGGGATTATGATGGACGGATAGAGTTTGCACCGGGGGGGTGTAGAGGGGGCGTTCAAGGAGGGAATTCGGAAGATGTAATGAGGGCAATACGCAGCATAGCAGTCAGAATTGGCAGTAGGTGAGGGCAAGGAAGAACAACAGGAAGATACTATACATGTACCCCAGCCTTCAAGCCATTAGAACGGACAACTCATCAACCCCGGCTTCCAGGTTCCTTTTCTGTCAAGCGTTCCTTCATCCTTACGTGCTCACAATAATAGTGCAGTAAAACTTCTTACGCACAAGACGCTTGCGGCCAGGATGGCGGATGATAAAACCACCCCTCTGTTGTCAGCACTGGCGGTGCCACTTCCTGGCGTTACGCTCCCCAGAGTAGCATCCTTGGCCCTGACACAAGACAATTCTGCTGCGATGCCCGAGGGATCTGAAACCCGTGCTGTTCCTGGTGTTTGCCGAAGGAACCCACATGGCCAACACGGGCCAGGCCAAACTGCCCGTTTCGTCATACGCTGTGAGATTCCCCCCCTCGTGCGATGGTCCGCCGAACCGACGGACATTGAATTTGCCGTCCGGCCAGTTGCGGATGGCGGTTGCATCAACCCCTGTGTAGATAGGGGAGCAACAGGAGTCAGAAGCGAATCAATCAAGGACGGGAAAAAGGAAGAGGACAGACATACACCGAGCACCGAACGATCCTCCCAATGTCAGGGTATTCGCCTGTTCACCTTCGCACGATGCGATCTCGGCAAGCGAGGGGCATCGGGACGGGTTGGGGCTGGCCGCTCTGTACTCTTCCACCGCCCTCGCCTCAATGTCGCGGATGCACTGCTCACTGAGCACGGTCGAGCAGCTGCCATCGTCCGCTCGGAGCTTGGCCGGGTAGTCGAAGAGGTCCATATCCCAGTGTATAACGCAGACAAACCACGAGTCGTGCACCGCCGACGTGGGCCCGGTTGGCGCTTGAAGCACCACGCGGCTCCCAGTAAAGGTCTGCTTGGGGTAGGGGTCGGCGCGGGTCGAGTTGGCCTCGGACAGAGGAATGTCTGCAACGACGGACACGGTCCACGACCACCCGTAAATGGGGTCGGATCCTGGGTACTGGGCCGAGATGTTGGGGCCCGAGAGATGGTATTGACTCGTCGCGTTGGGGCATCTAACAGTGCTTCATACCGCGAAAGAGGCACTCTCCACGGTCCAAAGTCGGCTCCCTCGCCATAGCTGCCTTCGAACTTTGTGCCGTGTCCTGACGCAAGTAACAGAATGACGACGGCCGCGGGGAGCGCCACTTTGACTCGATGGAGCGTGCTGGGAAATGTGTATGCAAGCTTGCAAATAGCTAAACCTGAGCCGGACAGTTGCAGGGAGGTGAATTCGCAAAAGTTAGCTTCCGTATAGCGGACACTGCAGGTGGTGATTCTGGTAATTCTGATGAATTTTTGTTCGGCTGCCGGATCAGCATTGCTGTCCAATGGTCAAAAATGCGAAGAGAAAGAGCTGGAGAGAAAAGCGTGCTGTTGGCACCGTTGGATGTTGGCTGTGTAACCTATTCTCCCTGCTTTTTGTTGCCAGTTGCCTCCTGCCTATTGGCCGGACCGAGTGAATCGACGTCGACACAAGTAATGGCTGGACGATCCGTCGACCAGGCAGGAAGGAATTCGTTAACTATGCAGTCGGGAGTTCGGGCTTTAGAAAGATCAGCGTTCGTCCACTTGCAACCGGAGATACCGTTCCCCTTTTAACAACCTTCCAAACAAGGTATGATCAACCATGACATTGTGCCAGCAGATCCTTCATCCTGTCAATTCACATTGTTGGATTACTTGTACTTGTCAGATATGAACAGGTACTAATGCTCTATAGATCTCATCGAGCTGCCCAGTTTCGCCGCATGCATTGACAGATGAGGTTGTTCCCGTCCGTCCTCCTAGCCAACCCCGTGGCCAGTCGTTCAGACGGAACCGCAGCAAGTCTGGTTCGAGTCCTGTGACCACATATGCAGCTACGGCACGCAAGCACAACCCTGGCTTGATTTTAAAGCCAACAATGGATGACAATTCAGTTTCCGTACAGTGCATACCGTGTTACCGGGCGCTCTGTAAATTTGTAATAGGAAGACGATCCTCTTCACAGCCATCAGTGAAGGAAGAGCCAGGCCTGAAGGTCGGGCCAGACTCGTGACCAAATTTATTATTATTATTATTCCTACACCGCTGTGCCCTGGGGCGTGCCGGACCTTCAACAACTTACTATACAGGAAAACCGCGCCCTCGTGGGCCGGGTGAAAAACCCATATCGACAATCAAGGAAACGATCAGTGTGCGATCCTGCAAATACAAAGTGGGAAGGCCTCTTG